TACATTAGTTATAAGGATGGATTAACATGTTTATTTTACCAATGGTAACATTTGTACTCAACAAAATTCCATTGTTTTGTTTTGTTTTGGGGTTTTTTTTTTGCACTAGTTCCATTTCATACAAATGCCCCCCGTCATGTTTCACCCATAGTCTGATATGGCATAATCCTACATTAACAGCCATGAGCCTTATACCATCTTAAAGACTAAAAATTTATTATTTGCATTGACTTTTAAATTCCACGTGTCTTCCAAGAAGCTCAAGGCAGTGCCCAGTTTTATTTTGGCACAAGTTTTTATGGACTGGAATCCACTCTAGCACTCCTACAATATGATCATCAGTTTATATAGATCAGGCCTAAAACTTCTACACCAATCACTGTTATTTCCATTTTTAAGGCTGAGGAGATGGAGGAATTTGTCAAGGCAAAACAAAGCAGGCCTAAAGCCAAGATCCTGCCAACTGGACCATACTAGCCTAATTGGAACAAAACATTGAAAGGGTTGCAAGACCCTTGGCAAAAGGAGGCATGACATTTCCCTTCTCCTTCCATCCAACTGATTTTTTCTGGAGTGATGTCCAGTTCCCAGTCCCCACCCAGGCAGCATTGCATGAGGTAAGGGAGCCCTCCATGTAGCCCCACCACTGGGTGCTGCGTTACGCTTTCCCTGCTTGGAAGTCTCTCATAACTACCTCACACCTGGCTATATTTCAAAGATTAATGAGCAGCATCTTGTCAGGTTTAATATATCACCCTGCTTAAGTTTACTTTGACGATGTAATCATAAATTCCCTGACTTGTGGACTACTCCTTCAGGATTTGCATGCAAATTATAAGGAGAAAGGAGGGAAAATACAGAAAGGATCATAAAATAGAATAAGTGCCAGTTTGGAGAAAAGGAACTGTTATTTTTATTAAATTTTTTTAATGTTGGGTTTTCTCTCTCAAGGATTACATGCAGACTAAACAGAGTTGAAGCCATAAAAATTTAAAGACACCAGAAAACATAATAAAAATAAAATCCTTTTTAGGTATGAGGAAAATTTATACCCAATTATGCCACCCAAGCAGAGCTGTTAATTAACCTAATGAGAAAATATGTTCCATTTCCATGCTCCAAAAGCATCTGATACTTCTCAAAGCAACATCTATTCATTATGCTGAAGACACATCCCAAAAATGGTACCTAGAAGCAAGTTCTCAGGCAAAACAGAGAGGACAGAAGAAAATTCCCTGTTAATGGTATGTGTAAAACACTAACAGGTAAAGCTAATCGCTTTGCAGCTATGGAAGCCTCCATTAAACTCATAGCATAGAACATAGGACTGCTGAAGAAGCCTTTTCTGTTTATTTCTATGAAAAGTGATGGTGTAAGGTCAATGTGACTCCTCTGCATTGGACTATGTGCCGTGCATGTTGTTGGAGCTCCCAAAGCAAATAGTTGATCTCACCCATACAACATTATTATTGATGCTAGCTTTCAGATATATCTTCCTTGTAAAAACCCCAAGGTGCAACATTTGAAATGAATGTGTGGAATATCCATGTATGGTGATGTGATGAACCTATTAATCAAGAGGAAGAACCCATGGCTAGTGCTCTTGTAAAATTCACCATCAGACATACTGGTTAAGATAAACCCATGGGACAATGCTTACATTGTGTGTCCTTAAGTTATCACAATGTGACAAGCTTCACATCATTCAAACAATGCCTTAGTCAATGCCTGGGATTGGCACTATGTGACCCTAGGTACTCTGATGCTACAGCAGATGGAAGGAATCTTCACCTTGGATCACTTTGGGAAATGGTAGAATATTGGCCTTGCATAAAGAAGGTTCTGGGTACAATCCCCAGTATCTCTATGTAGGGCTGGGAATACACCCAATCCGAAACCCTGCTGCCAAACCCTGTGTTGATACTGAGTTAGATAGATCAATGGTCCAGCTCAGTATAAGGCAACCTTTTCATAAAAGGAAATATGGAAGGAGGCAGGTGAGAGCCACACAAGGGAGAACTTACATTCATCACATTACATTTTTGTAGAGGGGTAGCTGTATCTACAGCAGGATTAACATCAAAGAGTCTTGATCTTCATGGACCACAGTCCACTTCCTTAGCTGTCGCAGTCAGAGAAGATGCAGCTGCTGCACTGCTGCTCCTGCTCCTTTTGTCCTCACTGCTAACATGGCAGTGATGCTGCCACTCGTTTCCCGGAGATGGTGCTCCACTTTTTGCTGGTAGGCTGTGCCTTCAAGCAGGTTCCTCCTAACTTTTGGGTACTTGCTCTCCTACCTCGCCTGCTTTAGGTGGCAGTTAAAGGAGAAGGGACAAGAGGACTGGTGGTGAAACAGAGTGGGAAGGCTGTGCAATGTCCGCAGCTTGTTTTCTGGGCCAGTTCCAATTTTGGGAAAGCCTGGGTAGAGCACCCCCTGGTGTATGCCCTTCCTTCTGGTAGTGTTTGTGGCCAGCAGTTGAGTAACACCAGGAGGCTAAGTCTACCCACTATTTAAATTCCCCCCCGGAGTGGGGCAGAGCTGCAGAGCCACCCATCTCTACTGGCATCCCTACAACATACCAGGATGGTAATGGGGCAGGGTGGGTTGGCAAGGTTGGGGCTGTGCAGGTGAACTAGTGGAGCCAAACCAATGAAGCCTCCTTCTGGCTCATCCATGCAGCTCTAACCTGAACACCATTCTGTCCCATCCCTGTGCCATCCAGGTACATTACAGCAATGCTGGTATTAGAAGGGTGGTTCTTCAGCTCCATCTTACCAGAGGGGACACTACGGAGGTTGATACAGGTCCTGCATGTTAGGTGCTCTGGAGTATTTAAAACTTGCAGGCACCATTTTTTGGGGGAGGGGGGGGGGGAAGACCTGGCAGCTGAAAGCTTTTGCCACGTAACCTCACAAATATCATTCATACAATATACTTGGTTCATCAAAGTAAGCAATGTTTTACAGACTTTAATTAGCAAATATATAAATATCAGTTTGAACAGTAAAGTAGAGACATTTAAAGCCAAAGAAACAGGAGAAATGAGAGCGGCATGTTGATTCCTGAATCTTTAAGTTAGATACCCACCTCCAATTAGATCCCCTAAGTCAGTAGCTGTCATAACACTGCAATTGATGGAGCTAATGTTAGTGTTAGTTTGAGCTGGTGGCATATGCCCAGATATGGTTACAGTCCTCCTAGGCTTCCTTTTTTGCAGTCCTAAATGTATTTGAGCTGCTGGATCCCTGTAAACGTCAATGAAACTTCACTGGCACAAGTGCATTTGTGATCACAGCCAGGATAAGCAATTGGTGTTTTTGAATTGCAAGATGACACAGTTCATAAATAACTCTCAGGGTGGGTCTGACCTCACAGTAATCCACCAGCATTCAAGGGACGCATGAAGTCCCAATGTACTGAGCTACATTTTCTCTCACTTTTGTAAATTTCAGACTTTATTGAATATAAATGTAACATGTTATACTTCTTTATTTTTTAAAATCCATTTCCTTTGCTCTTGATCTCCTCCTGAGTAATGGAGCCATCAAAGCCTTCTGTGACCATTACAAACTGCAGCTGCAGCAATAATATTACGTTTCCTAGCAGGTGTAACTCTCCACCCATTAGTTTGTAATATTGTGAGGAGGTGGGGTCCCAAATGCAAATCCTTTGATTCTAAGCTGATCAGGTGACTCCACCCTTCCTGGCAATTGGCGATGAGCGTCCAGACAGCATAACACCTGAAACACTCCCATGAGACAGATTGGTATTTAAAAAAAATCCTAAATATAATTCTACTGAAAAAGAAAAATATAACCCAGATGTTGTTTTGAGGTGTTGATGGAATGAAAGACTCATTATTCCAAATGGACACCATCCTGAAATCATATCCTGGCACGTCTCTCATTTCAATGAGATTACTTAAATGCAGTGGCTTGCAGGATGGAGGCCAGCTGAGCATTCCCAGGACTTGAGGTAAAACCCATGTGCAAAGTTCTTCAAAACAAAAATGAAAGGTCAGGTGCATATTAATTACAAGACGTATAAATATGTCAGCAGGTTTTTGTAACTTCTTAATAAATCACCAAAGCAAGCAAAGCCAGCTCATGATGGCAGGACCATATGCTGAGTAATTAGGGCCTGAGCCTTATGGAGGGCTTTTCTGTGCAACAGAGCCTATCAAATGTAACACATTTTTTTTTTTGGTCCTCCCTCTAATATTATAATAACCAGGCGCAACTGGATGGAAGCAGAGGTGCACCTCTCTCCATCACCATGGCGGAAAAGCTGCAGCTGTCATGCAGCTGCTATGGGCACAGCCAGGAAAAAATAAAACACTGCAACAGAAGGGAAAGGTGAACCTGTTTTGTACCAGCTCAAGCTCTTGCCTGCTTAGCTTAGCTTAGCCTTATCTGTCGTGGGTAGCAGCAATTCAGGGTCACACGTAGAATCTTTTATGTTGCCTGCTACCTGATCCTTTTAGCTGGAGGAGCCAGGGATTAAAGCTGGGACCTTCTGTCTGCAGATCATGTGGTCCACCACTGAGCTACAGCTGACTATAGCAAAAGTTGGTTGCAATGTGCTTTCATTGAGTCAGCAACATGTGTGTTAATTACATTAAGGCTGCAATCCTGTGCACACTTACCTAAGCGCCAATACCACTGAATTCAATGGGAATTACCTCTGAGTAGACGTGCCTAGGCTGCTGCTGCTAAATCCCATTTCACTGCTTTTTATTTTTTTGCATTTATATCCCACTTTTTCGCCAACATGGAACCCAAGGTGGCATACATGTTTCCAGGTAGTCTTCCATTTGAGCACTGACCAGGCCCAGATCTGCTTAGTTTGAAACATGGGACTAATAACTGGGCTTCAGTTGTAACCCTAGGCACATTTACTTAATTTCATCCTTCTCCTTCAAGAGTCATCCCCCCAACCAAACAAATTCTAAATGTATTTTGTGGAGTGGGGAGGGATATAGCAGACATACTTGGAGAGATTAAAAAGTAGATGTTTTATTGTTATATAAGCAAGCAGACAATGTTTGAAAAGTTGAAGGAGAAATACAAATATGTAATATACTAAACTTCATTAACAATATGTAGGCTTTGTTGTGTAGCATTCAGCTATGGCTCCTTTCTTCCTTGTTCAAACACATGTCTCCCATGCTTTAGCTGATAACATTATGATGTCTATATACACTAGTGTGATAAAGATATGCTACATATAGAATGAGGATATCTATAACCATGTGTGATCTGAAATCAGTGTTAGAGCTGCACTTATTTTAAAATAATTGAAAACTTTTAAATCGTAAAAATGCCATAAAAAGCCATCCCTTACTCCTTGTAAATGCAATCCTGCAAATTATCATGTTACAGGGAAGTTGTGCTGAGCAAGATCTGCAGGCTTGGTACAGGAATGGGCCAATGAACATCACTGCTTGTTACTCCAGAGGCATGGGAGTAGATATAGGATTATCTTCTTCATCTGTTCAGACCTCCTCCTATCTGGACTAGCCACATATCTCTGCATGTATCCTGTTGTACTGGTGCTTTGTTTTTAAAACACTAAGAGTTACTCTTTGTTCTGCTTGACAGATTAATCATTAGGCTAGGAATGCTAAAGAGCTGAAACCAAGAAAAGCAGAGCCCTGTTTTAGTGTGATGAAGAACATAAGAGGAGTCTGCTGGATCAGACCAATGGCCCATCTAGTAGTTCAGCATGCTGTTTCCACAGCGGCCAACCAGTTGCTTGTGGGAAATTACTAAACAGGATTTGAGCACAATAACACTCTCCTCTCCTGTGGTTCCCAGCGACTGGTATTCAGAAGCATTACTGCCTCCGAACATAAGGGAACCTCAGCCTTGCTGTTTCCTTAACATTCCACACAGATGACACTGTCTTGTGATAAGGAATGATGAGGAAACCCAAAATACTGCATTGTCTAGCTTATCACAAAGGGCAGAACCTGCTCTCTGTATGCCATTATAGGTACCAGTTGAGAGTGGGGCAGGAATGGGTTTTGTTTTGCTCATGATTTCCTCACTATGCAGTCAGGTACTGAAGGGCATAAGCACCAGAGAGGCGTGGAGTGAGACCCAGATAATTTATCCACCTAGCACAGGACCAGCATATTCAGACTTCAAGCGTGACCAAGCACCCTGCTATTATGAAGTGTCCCGACATCATCCCATCCAGCATTAGCATAGGAAGCTGAGCCCTGAAAATCCAGCATGTTTGGAAGTTCAGCAGCCCTCTGCAGTTCTGGACACAGTTAGTTATTTTGAGCAGTCATAGATAAAGGAAATAAATGGAAATAGAGTTGCCCATGTTTTCCTTACCAGTCCTTAATTCTATGATAATTCCATTGATAGCCTGGGCCTCTCTACATCCATAGATTTCTCTTACCTTTGACTGTACCAACTGATCACTGCACCTTCAGTGGTACAACTTCCGCCCTTAAGGCTGCAACCCTGTTCCCAATTATCTAGGAATATGGAACATGGTGGGATATAAATCCCAGACAACATACATAGACATGCCCTAAATTTCATGCAGTTCCTTTAACATGGACTTGGTTGAGTGCCAGTCTGTGGCTTTTGGCCTAATCATATGCCCTGGACATGCAACATAATAGTCAGCTGACAGAAGAAAATATACAGGCCTGCTATAACTAATTAGAGAATAGCTTAATGATGGCACCTTAATATCACAAGAACTGTGACATTTCTGCCAAATATCCAGGCTAGCAAGAGTCATGTAATGACAGACCAGTGGGTCTACACACACTTGTCACTAATTAATGGTTGCTATAGTTATTTATAGATTATTAGTTAAATATTTTTCATAAGAGCGTTCTTGTTTGCATTGTTCTTTAAAGGTGAGAGATAAAATTACTGAAATTCATTCAACTTCCTAAGTAGATATACGCATATGCACTGGCATATGCAGTTTTTTTGCGCACGAGAGCACTTTCTACCCCAAAATATCATTGCTGTGGAAACAAAGACAATATTTCAAAATAACCTCATTAGAATTGCAGACCAGGAGAGGCTGATGAAAGAAAAGCTTGAGCACAAGTACAAAAGTCATGTGCTCGTCTTTGAGCCTATTAACTGATTGCCCCACCGACCTTAATTTTTACTGGGGGCAAAAGTTTCATGGTAAACTTCATTTTTAGGGTCGCATTGTGAGTTGCCATGGTGTGAGCTTAATTAGCAATGAAATTGTCACAGAAATAATTTACATATTTTTGCATGCCATTACTCAAGGTAATTACTATATTCTGTTTAGCCTCTTTTTAAGCCTAAAGGGCAGTTTTTAGAAATAAGGCTTAAAGTCATCCATTGACTTCTTCAATAATTGTGGTGCTTTTCATAAATATGCAGCTTAGTTTTTCAGTGAATTTACTGAAAACAATTTATTTCCATCAGGGAGTTCTCATGCTATATTATATACTTGTAGGAGACGTTCACAGACACACATTCCTTTCCATATTATTCCAATTTAATATTTTAATTGTGTAGTTTGGGCTGTTTCAATTGCTACTCCAGTTCAATATTATAAAACAGACTTTGTGTCATTGCCACTTGCACTGCAATTAGTTATTGCAAATTGGCAAGAGTTTTGGGGTTTTTTTTGTATAACCACTAACAAAATAATGCCATGATTTCAGTTATTATATATCACTGTGTTTTTTTATGAACCAACGTGTGTGGTTGACATATTTACTCACTTCAAGCTTTTAACCTTCTATAAGAATGCAGCCTTGGGCTCTTGTTACCACAGTTTACCTTCTATTGTTTAAATTGCTTGAAAAACATAGGAACCGAACATATTTACTTGTCATAGATGAAGTTTTGCTAGCTATGAAAAAAACCCCTCTCTTTCTCCCTCACCCAGGTCTGCATGGAAATACCAGCTATTTGAATCATCTAAATGTGAGTCGCTTGTAAACGTTGCAGTAACTTCATTCTTACTCTGGCAAAGCTATGTGAACAGTGTAATGTGTAATAAAACAGCACGATTTGATAGATTTAGACAGCTGCCTCATTCTCTAGAAGTTCACATTTTGTTAATGCCACCCCCACGTTGAATAAGAGAAGATTAGAAGGTAAGGTCAATGTACAAAAATGGTTGCCAGGACATTTTTTTTTAATTGTAAAACTTTTTGTGATGTGATTCAGTAAAAAGACTAGAGGGAGAAAGCAATGGAGACAAAGGGCTGCTATTAACCTACAGATGCAGGCTATTGCAGGGTTCATTGCGAGATTTGTCACACTGCTTAGCCAATGACGTGCTAGCATGACTGGAAGAGACCACCCTTTTCTGGGGTAAGAGGGTAATTTGGTCTCCATGCTCATTTAATCCTGAACCTTCTCTGAATAGAGTGTCAGTTGGGTCTACATTGTGCAAAATTATGCATGCACTTTTTAATGCTGCCCCATTGTTCACTAAGCACTCAACCAAGATTTCTCAACCAATTTCCATTTGTCAGGAGGTCATTTGAAACCCAAGAGGAATCATAGGTGGATGGCAAGTGCAGGCGCTGCTTCCTTCTGCTGTCTCTAAAACAGATGTTTGGACACCAACAGCTTACCTATTGCGTTTTGCTTACAAATTGCAGCAGTACTAAAAGTTATGAAGAAATGGCTTGATTTCATTTAGTGACTGAAGAACTCGCTCTTATAAATGCGTTCCCTCTCCTACAGATACCATTCTCAAGGAGGCTGGGAATGTTTGGTCAAAGTGTCAGGCTACATTGCTTAAAACACTGCACACTGTTGGTGTAGGAGGAACAGGTGTTTGATGAACTGTGGGACGAAGGGCACCCTTGCTCTTCCCTTCTCTCTGTGTGGGAAGACTTCTCTGCAAAAACAATAGCACAAAGAGAAATTGATATACACCGCAAGTATGAACACACAGACTACAGCACAAGTATTGCAGGAATAAGCATTTTAAATTCTGAGGGTGATCCTATAGTTCCAATATTAATCAATACTTTAACAATTCTGAATACAGCATGTACATCAAATTTATTGATACATTTACAAAAAGGAAACAGCATTATGTTAACTCTCCAAGAAACATTTACATTTTGAACCATATTTGGCAATAATCATAATTTTAATGATTTGTACAAGTGTCCTTAACACAGGCAAGACTTTAGCTAAAGTGAGCTCCCATCCAGTGAAGTTCCATTCAATGTGAATTCTGCAATAAATTCATATACCATATAAAAATGGGCCAGTCCTGATATAGTGGAAAGAACTCTATCAACATTTGCAGCGACTCGTTGATTGGCTGCAGCTGTTTCTCCGTCGATTACGAACAAAGGCTGACACAAGGATACATTTCTACATTATGTCCACAACACATTAAAGAGTGTGTTTGCTCTTTCGCTCCCCATCATTCCAATTAATTTGGAGAAAAAGGTAACTTTAGTATTTGACAGGACATGGCAAAGCTGTTCATCTAGATGATGTCTATATTATAAAAAATTAAAATAAAATAATATAAATATGTAACACAAACCCAGTGCCCATTGTTAAATAAGATATTCAGTAAAAACAAAACAAAAAACAGACCTTCTACAATGACTGGTTTTAAAATATGCAGATATAATTTAATTATGAAGAACTTGAAACAGTGTGGAAATTAAGCTGCGATAGCCAGATTTTTGCATCTATGTCAGATAAAGTAGTTAAGTGCATAACATTCTGTTACATTGATAGAAGTGTAGATTACAATCTTACAATGAATTGTCTATATAAGAATGCATTCAGGAGTTCCGAAACATTGTCTTAAAACGGTGGGGTAGATTCACATGGTCATGTTTTAATGTCATAATTTGTTCATCTGAAGATTCCAGTGGATAATAGTTCTTACTACAATACCCCTTTCCCATCCTGTTCAGAGAACAGCTTTTAATGGAAGGGAAAAAAACCCAATGTGTTTATTGTTACATGAATTTGATGTTAATTGGTCATTTGAATCCACCTGCCAAATATCTTAACCATGGTTAAAATCAAAATTTAATAATGGCCAACAGTTAAAAAACTCCTTTTCTGATTGCTATACTCAGATAGTTATACACAAAAAATGGTGGGATATCAAATATTCATAGTGACACCATTGGAAATTATTTGTGGTAACAGTGGCATTTCTGTGTAAACTACTTCACATGAGGAAATATAATTTTGGAATTCCACTAGTTATGCAACCAGATGTTTGTGCGTGAATTGTACGTTTTTGCTTCTCTGAAAAGGTAAAAAGGCAGATCTACAAACCCAGTGCACTGGAATTTCAAAGCAGGATAAGAGTCTTTTGGTGGGGGGGAAGAGAGAGAGAGAGAAGAGAAGAGAAGATTTGAAAAACAAATGCCCATTGAAAATGTGGTATCCAAATAAGTCCCAGACACTATACAATGTAGCTGGTTAGATCCAGCAAATAGGATGTCATGTCTATGATCTGATCAAGAATACCTGCCCTTGTCACTCTTCGGATGTTTCTATCCACTTGCTCACACTGAAGACCAAGATATCCTTTTTTACACATGCATTTATTTGGTCGTATGCAGACACCCCCGTGTCGACAGGCTGGTTCACATTTTGCTGTAAAAACACACACAAAAAACTCTTATGTAGAGGCTTTCCCAAGAATCAGGAAAAAAATCCATATGTACAAAATGGGAACTATTTCTCCATCATAATGGCAGCAGTATGGATTTATTTAGTTATTTCCAAAAAAAAATGAACCATTTGCTTTTGTCTGTTTCTCAGAATATAAAATAGGCCATGATACATTATGGGAAAAGAAACTTGGATAAAAATATAACAGAAATATGTAAAAGAATACCTTGCTCATGAAAGTATCTCTCTGATTTAGGGAGTCTGCCACATTCTTATCAACTGTTATTCTGCATATGAGTCAACAGAGACTCTTGGACAGGGTACATATTACATCCATAGACACTGTTCTAACTCACTAGGATCCCTTCCTGGAGTGCATTGCCCTTAGCTGGCCAGGTGGCGGTGGTCAGAATGTCTCCTTTGAACAGAATGACCGTAGGAAGTTCCTTCTGGTCTTTGAACAGTATGGTGAGACAGATGTCCCTCAAGGACTCTATGGCTGCATGCTTCAGAGGTTTCCTTGCCTCACTCATTCTCTCGATTTAACCTGTATCCCACTTCCATCTTCTCATCCCCAGGTCTACTTCCACAGCTCCTCTTGTATGTACAGAGAAACTGACTGAAAGCGTGGAGAAGCATTTGAAGGATGGCAAATGAATGTTTATGTTTGGTGACAGTGTTAGTCCCCAGATGTGTGTTGTTTCATTCCAGTGGTCCCAAACACACTACATATGAGCAACATCCAGGATAGTTTATCAAATGCACACATGTCATTTGATGAAAGCAAATTTCCGAGTCTCTTGCTCTTTGTGATTTCCCTTCCCCTCCCACCCATTCATTGCTTGCTGATAGAAGCTTGAGTAAATGAGGAATTTAAAATATATGGATTAAAAAAAACCAACCAAAAACTTTTGTCAGAAGTTGATGGAAGCTTGCTATTTCCATGAATTATTGTGAACGGAATACTAACCAATTCTGCAGAACTCGCCTTCCCAGCCTTGATTACAGCAGCATTTTCCCGTGGGAGTGCAGTGCCCATTTCGACAATGCCTTGAGCATTCAGATGTCAATATCTGGGCAGGAAGAGCTGTTCTTTTGCATTCTTCTGGGACTAAAGGCCTGTAGAAAAATATACAGGCAACGTACATTTTTAAAAGTCAGGGTCAAAGAGAAATTGTTTACACATAGACTGGATTCATTTTTTTTCCTCCAAAAGAAAGCTGTTTAAAATGGTCCATGCAACAGAGTTTATGAAGTTGTGGAAAATTATATCTTGCATACATTTTAAGAGTTTTTATGATGATGAAATCCACTGTTTTAGAACAATATGCTATTCAGCAATCATTATAGCCAGCAACAATATTTTCAAAGAAGCCTGGTCACACTGCTTTATAGGAACTTTATAGCTCCTCCTAAGGTCCTCTTGGACATTCTGCTATCTTGGTAAAACCAGAACTTTTAAAAATTAGTTTAGGTGCTAATAAGAATGAAGTTGTCATCCTTTTTTAAAATCTTATTTCAAACACACCAGTATCAGCAGTTAATGATAATGGTGCCACTGATTTTTTGAAGTTCTTACTAATATTTTTAGCAGAGATATATATGTAGGACTAAAATGGCATGCACATATTCAACCTACCTACCTACCTACCTACCTACCAGTGAATAGAACTACACACATCATTAACTCATAGAGTTGGAAGGGGCCATGAGAATAATCTAGTTCAAACCCCTGTAATGCAGGAACTTTTTGCCCAACGCTGGGGCTCGAACCCATGACCCACTATAGTTAGAGGGAAAAAGAACAAAGTATGTGTAGGTGGAAGGGGGAGAGACCTGGGATTGAGGAACTAGAGTAATGAAGCAAGCACAGAACAGGAGAACCAGGAGGGACAACTGGACCTGGGGTCAGAACTGAACTTGAGGCAACTGGAGGTCACCTATGTTTGCAGGCTAATAGACAATTTCACATAAGAACCAATAGTTTTGTACATGTTGCTTTTTATTTTCCCTGTGTTTGCTGTAGCTTAATTAATCTTATTTTTAACATGTACGTTTGAACTTGTCTGATCTATCACTGCTTGGTTCAGATGGTGGAAAGATAACAACAGTGGACTCCAGTTTAAACAGTGGGAGAATCTCTGCTGGAGAAAGTTGGGTGCACATCAGAAAAAATATCTCACAAAAATTCCCACATAAGCTACCATCTATTCATATAGCCCAGAAGCCGAAACTGACACAGATTATTATAGATTTAAGCATTCAGAATGTCTGTTGGCAATCATATATCCCAGTACCACTCACACACATTAGGATTGCAGCTCTGTAATATACCGCAAAGGACCGAGAGAAGCAATCAAGTTTTCATGAATACTGTGTAATGAAATAAACAGAGCACCTTGTCTTATGGTAGTGTCACACAATAATAAACCTTCAGGTGCTGAAACTGCCTTGGAAGGTACTGAATTCTCCCTTGCTAGAGGTTTGTAAGCACAGACTGGATGGCCAACTCTCAGGAATCTTCTGGTGGTGGACTTCCTGCATTGCCGCTGAGCTAGATGAGTTGAGATCCCTTCCAGCTCTGTAATTTTATGCTTCTATTACTATATGTATCAATGAGCTCCAGAAATGCATTACTGGATATTTTGGGTCATGTTACACTTGTTTCATTTTTTAAATTGAAAGCATTTTGCCCCACATTTCAATTAAAAAGAGTTCTTGAGCAGCACAGAGCAGCCCACAACACAAGACAGTTTCTGCGCTCAGGCTTACTATCTAGAAGAAACAACATAAAAGGGAAAAGGGCAGGAGGAGGAAAGGGCTAAAAAAACTTCGACACCAGCTCTTAAAGCTACAGTTCTTACAATGACAAGTTGGGATAGAAACAGTTCAGGTAGACTGATGGAATGTGCATTACTAGGTGACAGATGAGAGGAGAAAAGAAGGGACACAGGAAGCTTGTCTTTCAACACAGCCGATGGAATAGCCCTGCTTCCATTCTCTCCCTCTGCTGGAGCCTGATGGAATGGCTGCTGTGAGGTGACACTTGAAGGAAAGCCAAAGGCAGCTGGCCTCTCAGCAGAGCCAACAGAATGATAAGTGAAGCCGGAGTCATGGACAAGTCAGGGGAGCAAACCACTTGATGAGTTCCAGAGGCTTAAGCTGATCTTCATACTTAGGAGTCTCTATCAATGTGATTTGGCAGCCCTGTGTTTGACATAATCAGTCACTGTATATTACATACAACGGCGCATGTGTATGCCTGCATGCAGTTTCATGCTGACATGTACTTTTCTTCCTGAAAGCCCTGTTCATGGGATCTCTTTTTTGGGTCTCTATTCCAAGCCCAGAAGCAGTAAGCCGCAACATATGCTGATGACACACAGTTCTACTTCTCCTTTACATCTGCAGGTGTGGCAGCGGACGTGCTGGACCCTTGTCTTGCCTTGGTAATGGACTGGATGGGAGCCAACAAACTGAAGCTCAATCCAGAGAAGATTGAGGCACTGGTAGTGGGCAGTTCTCTAGACTGCATGGATGAGAGGCTGCCTGCTCTTGATGAGATTACACCCCCTCTGAAGAAGTGGGTACATAGCTTGGGGGTAATTCCTGGATCCTTTGCTGTCAGTTGAGGGTCACTTTGTCTTAATGGTGTGGAGTGTCTTTCATCAGCTTCAGCTGGTGGCCCAGCTGTGCCCCTATCTGGACTTGGATAGTCTAACGCCTGTTGCCTATGCTCTGGTAACCTCTAGGTTAGATGACTGCAATGCATTATACATAAGGCTGCCTTTGACGATGCTTTGGAAACTTCAGCTGGTGCAGAATTTTGGGGCCACTAGGGTAAGATGGTTTGAGCATATTACATTGATCCTGGCCCAACTGCTCTCCCCATGTAAACCAGCCCAGACCTTGCAATCATCATCTGAGTCATTTCTTTGTGTGCCACAAGCAGTCTGGAGGGTGGTAACATGAGAATAGGCCTTTTCTGCAGTGGCTCCCCATTTGTGGAATGCTCTCCCCAGGGAGGCTCACCTGGTGCCCGCATTATATATCTTTAGGCACCAGGTGAAAACATTTCTCTATAAGCAAGTCTTTGGCTAATTACAGTCTATACACCCTTTTAAATGTGTTTGTGGGAGAAGGGTTTATTTTTTCTTGTTGTTCTTACTTTTATTATGTATTTTGGGTTTTCGTTTTATATTTTTATGTTGTGAACCTCTCTGTGATCTTCAGATAAAGGGTGGGATACAAATAAACAACAACAACAGGTTTACACAAACATGCATTCAAATGCACACCCACCAGCAATGTCAAAGGCTATCTTTACAACAACAATTATAGATTTGAGGGGACGTTATGAAATTAACCCCATTCCCCTGTCAGTGGCAGAAATCCCACCTAAAATTGTCTTTATCCAGGTGTGATGGAAGAGGAAGTGGGACCAAAGGAAAGAATCAAAACTTTTCTTCAGAGGACAGCAATGCAAACATTTTCTAATTAATTTCTCCTTAGGCCTAATCACCAACAGAGGCTTCATCACTCTTGGTTTTAAAGAAAACCCTGAATATGTTTTTCCCCCTGGTCTGTATTTGGTTAATCAGCTGCATAAAAATAATGTTTAGCAGCTAATGCTTTTGTTTTGAATATAATGAATTTTAATTTAATGGTATGTTTGCTATTACTGTACTGTATTTTATTTTATTTGAATACAAACTGCCTTGTGAGGGCAGTGTACTCTAAAAGTCAGGTTAAAAATTCTTTAAAGAAAACAAATAAGTAACTACTTCTCTAGCATAAACACAGCACCCCTTCAGGTATGATTTTTCAGTACATTTGCTTTCAGTGCTGGGAGGCATGCCAAGAGCTCATTACTTGATTTACTACAAGGGAATGATGTGGGGAGGAAGAAAAAGAGCCTTCCCTGCTTTCAGATTTTTAAACCCAGCAGCATATCAAATTTATTCTTATATGGTATACTTGTTCATGACCTCTAGTCTTTAAGAAATTCTGTCATATTTGAAAACTAGTCCCCAGCGGAGCCTATATCAGTGTTAATAGCTGTGAGGTCAATGCAACTGCTAAACAGTTTGTATTACTGTCAGGGTGGTCATGAAAACAACACCTGCTGCATGAGGCCTTGGCAGCTGGGTCAACAGGCACTGTGGGAATTTATCAATTTAGGGGGCCACTTGCATAGCACTTTGACGGATGAATCGGGAAAGAAACTGGCTTACGGGGCTAAAGCTGCTCAATTATGTATTACATTCTTTACGGCAGCAGAGAAAGCAGCTCCGTGTATGCATCTGAAAACAGGCAAAATATAAACCAAAGAGGTATTTTTTTGCCTTATAAAATGAAGTACACAAAGAGGTCCTTAATAGCCAATGTTAGAAAGGAAGAGAGGGGGAATGGAAGTGCTCTGTGCATGGATTAAGATGTGACTTTAAAAATAATAACACCCCCCCCCATAACTGATGTTACAAAGTTTAAAGTCTTTGGGTTTACAAATTCAAAGAACGTTAATGTGCATGTTTCACCCACAAGGAAGGCAGCTGCACGTAGATAGGAAAATGAGCTAATTATGTTATTCTAAATATACATATGTATTTTGAAGCACTCGTTCTGGGCTTCTACAACTGCGAATGACTTTAAGGATTAGGTACATTTTAAATCCAAGGGAATCTCATGGTCCACTTGGGTGGATTCCTCAGTCAACTGCTGTTTGCTGACAGCTTTATATTGCATAGTTCCACAGTATTATTTAAAGGCAATCGGGCATAAGAAGATAATTGTGGAGAAGAGGTTTTCATTCTGCGTGTTTTATGGAATCATAGGGTTGTAAAAGGGTCTGAAATCATCCTGAGGAATCACTACCTTAAAGTAGGGTCCCCCCCCAAAGTTATATAGATTGCAGTTTTATGCTCTTTATTATTAATTCATGTCTTCTAACGTAAAGTGCTCCTTACAAATGAAACAGAACTGAATGATGTTATTTGTGCCAGAAGTGTTTGTACAGTGCATAGGAAAACTACTCCAAAAGTACAAGAAAAGCGAGCTAAATGTCATTGGCGCTCATTTATACAGGACAGGGTAAATAAAGTATTCTGCAGCAGTTCTTATCTCATTCCTCAAACATGTTCATCAGATTTGGCTGAAAGATCATTATTTGTCTAAGGCAGTGGTGTCCAAACTTTTTTCAAAGAGGGCCAGATTTGATGAAGTGGAGGGCCATGAGGGCCAACCAAAGTTGTTGACCTTTTTTTAGGATTGAAGTTGTTGAGGATTTTAGCCCACGAAATAAACTGCCACAGGCGCCAGATGATTAGGCCCCCGAAACGGACTTTGGACATGCCTGGTCTAAGGCTAGCTTCTTTCCATTGCCCCATGTTAGTTTTCTCATTTTCCATATATGTACACGCTTCTAGCTCTCAGATTTGTTTCTTTGTGGGTTTCTTTTGCTCATGACTATTTACAGCTTCATGTGTACTAATGCAACATTCAAAAAATAAATCCCTCCAAAAGGGAGGGAGAGAAGCTAGATATGTCTGCAAGGCATTTGTTGTGCTCTCCCTGCAAAGAAATTTAGAGAAGAAATGGAGCAAGAAGCATGACAGGTAAATAAGGAAATGTTGCTTTTAAAACTTTATAAAATGTGGGAAATGCCCTCACTGTGGAAGAAGGTGGGAATGAATGTACAAACAGGAGCAAATTAAGTTTCAATTAAAAGAAGACAAAATAATGAAACAGGGTTATTGTTTCATGGCATCCCTATTTAAATACTGAAAAACCTGCCTGTGCTCTTGAGCAGGGTTAATATTAAGAGAGTTCAAAAGACCAACAATATGTTGAAAAGATGGCTGAGGGGGATTGTAGGAACATGTGGGCAGCACTCCTTCCCCACAATCTGTGCATCTGGTTGGTGTCGAAAGGGATTTTATACAAGAACTGTGGAGTTTCCTCACATAGTGATTGAACATGCAGATATGTGTGGCCACAGTGTGTGTCAGCAATGGTGGTCAGCCTGCTCTTTGCAGCTCTGCAACCCTCATCTGAGTTCTTCCAAAGCATGTGGAGGGCACCTGAAAGCCCCTTATTATGATGAAAGTTGTTCCTTGAAGTGTTGTTGCCTTACTTCAGGCAGCTTGGCAATGAAGACTTTCCTCATCTCTATGAAGGCTGAGCACAGATATGACTAATGACGTGTGGAAAACTTCTGCTGTACAGGAGAAGCCAATAGCAATTTATTTTACGATATCTCAATGCTGCTTTTCAGGCAAACCTTACAAAGTGGTTTACATTAAAAAAATAAATAGATCAAGAATCGTGAATGCGTCTCTAGAATGAAACAGTAGCAGCAAATTAGAGGGTGAGGAAACTTATGGAAAGCCGTATTTGTCCTCCTTTCAAGGCAATATGGTTCATGAGTAGCCCTGTAGTAGCAGTCACCTCTCCTGGAACACTAGGAGGTACCCGTATTTTTCGCTCTATAACACGCACCTGACCATAACATGCACGTAGTTTTTAGAGGAGGAAAACAAGAAAAAAAATATTCTAAATGAAACAGTGGATGTATGATTTTTGTGGTTCATGCTGTGGCCACAGACATGTGATCTGACAGTGAGTTTGGAGTAGCCCAATGCAAAAATCCTGAGGATCCATGTGGATCCATGCTTTGTAACCACGTTTTTGCACCACTGCAGTCCCAGACAACAGTGGGTGTGTGATTTTTTTGGTGCAAGATGTAGCCATGGACATGCTATGTGATCTGATGGTGAATTTAGGGTGACCCAGTGCAAAAATCCTGAAGATCCCTGTGGATCTGTGCTTTGTAACCACGTTTTAAGTGGGGAGGGAAGGAAAAGCACTCAAGGGACAAGGAGCACGCGTGGGATGTGTGGAGAAGGATGCTGCTAATAATACAGAAGAGGGGTTTAAGGGGAGAAGGAACGTGTGGGGTGTGTGGAGAAGGATGCTGCTAATAATGCAGAAGAGGGGTTTAAGGGGAGAAGAAGCACGCGTGGGGTGGGTGGAGAAGGATGCTGCTAATAATGAAGAAGAGGGGTATAAGAGGAGAAGGCTCCTCTCCTCTCCTTTCTTTAAAGGAGCCAACCGGACAGGAGCCGCTTACACTCCTCTCCCGCTTTGCTCCTTTAAAGAAGCAGGCTCTTTGTCCCTCTCTCCTCCCCACTCAGCGGCTCTTCTCCCGCTTTGCTGTTTCAAAGTGAGCCACAGAGGAGGGAAGGAAGGGGAACCATGGATCCTCTGCTCACGACTGCAGCAGATCCCCCTGCCACCCGTAGGCATTCCCTCCATAACATGCACAGACATTTCCCCTTACTTTCTAGGAGGAAAAAAGTGAGTGTTATGGTGCAAAAAATACGGTATGTGGTTGTCAGGGAAGTGCAAACGGCTAGAGAGCCGAGGGGGGAGACTAGCACTTATAGAGAGCCGAAAGAGCTTATTAGCGGCTTCTCATCTGACTCCGAAGAAGAAACAGGGAGGGGGGATTCCGAGCCCAGAACTAGCTATTCACGGAACAGAGGAAGCAAGAGGCGGGTCTTTCGACGATTGGCCTGCTGGGGGAGGAGGAGTAAGAAAAAGCCATTCGAGGCATCTGAGGGAGACAGGCAAGGACATGCCTTTGAAGCTCTTGTAACCGTTTGAACTTTGTAAATAAATCCTCAAGACAGAGACTGGCTGTGAGCCTGGAGTTTTATCTCTGCTAGCTTTGGCAGCACCAACCCCTGACAGTGGTGGACAGCTCTCAAGGCTCCTCACCCTTCTCTTCTCCCCACAAGTGCAATGCAGTTGTAAAGGTGACAGAAGCAGTGTTCAGGGTTCGGCCTGTTCATTCTTTGAAGTGACGGATTGTGTGTCATGTATATGAATTTCAGAAAATCATTTTATTGACTTTCATCACTGGCCACTCTATCAAATGTGAGGCAGTTCTTGGAGCGGACAATTCCAACTCAGTGGCTTCCAAAAGCACATTTGGGCCACTGACAGCCTCATACCATGACCTATTATCACCTGAAAGGCTTGACTTGTATTTTGATTGTATTGTATTGTTAATTCCCCTGGGTCTGAGAGCTTTACTTATTGTGAAAATGCTATCTTACCCACTTGAAGCTCAGTTAAGCAAAATTTCTTCAGTTTTTCTGTGCATCTGATAAGATCCAGTTTTTAAGATAAATGTCAGTTCTTATTGACTAGACATCTAGCAGGTCTGTTCTATTTATTCTAGGAAGAAATGCTTGGTGTATTTAAAGGGTATTAGGAAATGTTGCATGTACTTGGGATGTTGCATGTACAGAAGAGCAGTTTTTCATGTTCTATCCCTATGGGATCCTGCTGCTTCCATCAAACAAGAGCAGAGCTACTGCTCTGCCTTCCACTTTCAGAAACTGGTGTGGAATCCTACTGCAGAGAAGTAACAAGGGGATTCTGGCAGGGAAAGCCCACTGGTATATTTCCATCTGTACTAAGCACTGCACATACATGAGAGAAGAGTACTATGGCGATGCTGTGCAAAGAGCCACGTGGCCTTAGTTGTACAGAGCACTTTTCTAAGTGTGCTTTAGATCTAGCCATTTCATTCAAAAGCTGTACTGAATGTGAAATAATGATTTCAATGCAATTTTGCCCACATGCCAAAACACCCGTAAAAAGAAATCTTGTGAAATCCTTTAGTGCTGCTATCTTAACAAAATATTTCCTGGCTTTCCATTTTTTAAATCGGTTTCATTTCGAATGTATGCCAGAGTACATAGTGTCATTAGCACAGTATATTTCCCACTCTTGTCTTATTCTAGCCAGATGCATTACCCTCTGCCACACATTAAATAGCTAACCAGGAACTCTGCATTGGGAGGTCTGGCCTTTCAGGTATGTCATTTTGAGACCACCCTAATCGCCGAGGCAACAGGAGCACAAAGCCAAGGTCAAACAAAGCAACCCCCTTGTAATTAGATACTAATAGTGGATTAAAGGTGTAAAATTCGCCTAAATCCACACACCAACAGACTAAACAATCCAAATGAAGCCAGCAAGATTTGTTTTGCAAAAATACTTTTCCACCTAGAATTCATAAATAAAACAAATATAGTATGCTTGATTGACTGCAGTAACATCTGCTTCTTAATTAATAACATTTCAGTGGCAGATACATGACAAAGTAATGGAACTTTCCTATATGTTATTAATTTACTGTTAGGTTGTTCAAAATTCTGAATCACTTATACCTCTCTGTCAAAGCAGAGCCCTCTTATTTCAGCTTCCCTGCCACTTTGCCATTTCCTGCACATCTCAAGAGTCTACACATCCAAGTATTGATGGACTACCCCGCCTCCACAATACTCCACAGTACCTTCTCCATTTCCAATAAAAAAGCTGTTGTTTTAATATTTTACTCATGATTTTGAAAGCTTATTCATTTGAATGACAAAGAGTGGGTTTTCATAGGGAAGGCTCTGGAGAGAGAAAAAAGGGTGGGTGGGTGCTTGGACTGTGCCTGGAAATAAGAGAGGAAAGGTAAGTCTGGATAAGCCCATTTTCTCTCTGCTTAGCTGTGTGACTCTTGGCAGTGCTGTTTTTCTTAAAAAAAAAAAAAAGAGGTACCAGAACTCACCATGAATACCTCCCTTGTTCTCTTATAATGGCTATGGTGCCCACCTGAGTGGTGCCGGAACTGAGCTCTGGAGAATTCTGGCTGAAAAAAGGCCTCCTTGTGGCAGGTGAGCCGGTGCTGCTTACTGGGAGGAAGAGGGGAGGGTAGCATAGTGCAAATGCACAGGAAGGTGTACTGGATTGGTTCCACCTATGGGCTTGCACAATGTCCACCTCGCCACTGCCTCACCTCTAGGTAATCAGCACCTCACTCACTTACTAAAGCATCTCTTACCTTTTGGGGTCAACAATTTTGTAGAGCTTCCCATTGTGAGAGTGTGTCATGCTTTTACTGCTTGCTAAGATGTAGACCTCACCTGTTAAGAAAACGCATACCATAAATGATTAGTGGTATCCACTAAAAAACTGAAAAGTCAATGTACAATTTGTGGCTCTTTCTTGTTGTGCGGCAAGGATATTACAATAATTATTTAATTCTGCTTTACATTAGTATTTCTGGTTTCTTTCTTTCTTTGTTTTTTTTTAAAAGCTAACAGAACTGATAAAGAACAACTTGGCTGATAAAGCCCCAAAGATTCACAGCAGGGACCCCCTGGTCAAAGTCTAAAGATCTGAATATACATTCTGTGCTTGAGATACACAGTACACTGTGCATTACGGAGATAGCTTGTCCATGTTCTGGAAACCTCCTGTTTAGACTACTGCAATGCGTTGTAGGTGAGTATCTCTGAAGACTGCTAAAAAAATGGCAAGCAGTAGAAAACGCAACCCATAAGTTACTAACGAGCTGTTGTTGAGAATATATCTTGCCTGTGCTTATGTAGCTCCATTGGCTTTTGTTCTAGTACTATTCCAAGTGCCAGTGCTTACTTTTGAGGCTCTGCACAGATTAGGATGTGGATATCAGAAGGAAAGTCTGCTTCTATCTTTGGAGCCCCTTCTTGAGCACCCACACTACCTGAAGTTTTTATTTATTTAAACACATTTATAAATTGCTTAGGGACACGGGTGGCGCTGTGGGTAAAAGCCTCAGCGCCTAGGGCTTGCCGATCGAAAGGTCGGCGGTTCGAATCCCTGCGGTGGGGTGCGCTCCCGTTGCTCGGTCCCAGCGCCTGCCCACCTAGCAGTTCGAAAGCACCCCCGGGTGCAAGTAGATAAATAGGGACCGCTTTCTAGCGGGAAGGTAAACGGCGTTTCCGTGTGCGGCTCTGGCTCACCAGAGCAGCGATGTCACGCTGGCCACGTGACCCGGAAAGTGTCTCCAGACAGCGCTGGCCCCCGGCCTCTTAAGTGAGATGGGCGCACAACCCTAGAGTCTGTCAAGACTGGCCCGTACGGGCAGGGGTACCTTTACCTTTTACCTTATAAATTGCTTAATATATAAAAAAATCTCTAATTGAGGTAAGAGGTGACAGGGCCTTCTTGGTATTGACCTGTTTATGGTATTCTCTCTCTAGAAAGGCTCTCCTGGCGCCTACACTAAGTTATTTTGGGTCCCAGGGGAAGATTTTTTAAATTTCCCCAGGCTTTTAATATCTGATGAGCTTTTAATATTTGAGTATCTTATTGCTACTTTTAAATCCTAGTGTTTTATTATGTGCTTTCAATTTATTACATTTTAAAATATTATCTTGTTTCTTTTTTCTTGTGAACCACCCTGATAATAATGTATTGAATTGCAATATAGAACTTTTATAAATGCACACATATGCAGATAGATAGATAGATAGATAGATAGATAGATAGATAACACAAGACACATCTTGGCCAAGTTTTTCTTATAAATATAATAATATCCTAAAGAAGCTGTTTTTGTCTTACCTACTTCATCTTCACCAAATCCCAAGATATGTCCTGAAAAGAAACCTCTACATGAACCACTGTTGCCCAGACAAAGTGGTTTCTCTTGCCACTGTTTGGTCACGGGGCTCTGTTGCAGTGTTAAAAAATTTCTGTAAACACAAATTTAAAAAGGGACAAAATGTTACACAGTGTGCTTTGCACCAATAAAATCTAGAACTATAATGAACATATGTAAGATGGAGTCCTTTAAAATCTGAGCCATAAAGCCTACAATCCAGATTTTACTTTGTGCCTCTGAGCACTGATAAATTCTTATGAAATATGAAATGGATTGACATAGCACAATGTTTTGATGAATCCAGACCTATTATGCTTTGGTCACTGAAAGCTACTTGAAGTGCTCTAAAAGGCTTTCCATGTGATTAGTTACAGCAGCGGAGCAAGCTGATCTGGTGCCTGGGGCATGTGTGATCTGCGCCCAGGGGCTGGGGCAGCTGCATGCGGGGGTGGGGCCAGCCAGGGCAGGACGCTCTGCGGGGCCTCCTAGGAGTCTGCCTGCCTCCTCCAACTCTGCCACCCTATAGCCGGGGAGGAGGAGGCGAGCGGACCAGGAGAGACGCATGGCTCGGGCGCGCTGCACACCCCACGGTGAGTGCTGCCTGCCATTTTGTTACCCCCGTCAGTGGTGACACCCGGGGCAGACCGCCCCCACCATACCCCCTTCCTCTGCCCCTGATGTTGTTGTTGTTTAGTCATTTAGTCGTGTCCGACTCTTTGTGACCCCATGGACCAGAGCACGCCAGGCACTCCTGTCTACCACTGCCTCCCGCAGTTTGGCCCCGATAGGTGTGGCTTTTGATTCCACCCTCTCTTGGGAACAACAACGGATCTACCACTCGCCGAAAGATGTGGAGCCCTCAAATATCCCACAGAACCTACACACAATGTATTTCACTCCTGGTACCATGTGTTTTCTTCAACACGAAGTCCCAGATTCGATGTAGTAATTTCGACCAGATATTTTCTAACAAGCAAACACCCATACATGTGCAACATCCATTAACTGAACATAACCTTCCCTAACTGAACAAACTAACCGACAGGCTTGCTCTTAAGAAGCTGTTCATCTTAAACATACAGTAGCATATATCAGCATAGGATGTGTGCACAAAGGGGACTGCAAACTAGGAGAGAGGAGAAGGCATGGAAATGGGGGTGATCTATGCGCAAGGGACAGTTGAGATAAAGTAAGGGGGCAGGGAGAAAAAGGGGTGGTTGCCGAAAAGGCGGGAGGAGGAGGAAAGGGAATGTAGGTGAAGATGAAAGCAGGGGCATAAAACAGTCTACGGCATCAGAGGAAATGGTGACTTCATAAATGGGTGAAAAGGGTGCTTAGTAGTTGCCATGTGTGGGAGGAAGAAGATGCAGGCCCACTACAGATGGGGGCTACATCTGTATTGCTTTTGTGCAAGTTTTAAAGAAACTTACCCATTACGGTCTGCAAATATATAACTTCCATAAAGTCTTTCAGACTGGCAGCCTCTGTATACAAATCCACCAACCAATGGCCCACTACTGAATGGCTTGAATTCCAAAAGTGAAGGCTCGCTTTCTAAAAAGGAACTACCATAGTGTTAGATTAAATGCAATTTCGTTTGTTAAATACATGTTTTAATTGAAAGAGGAGAGTAAAAAATCAGGATATTTGTATTTCAACAACCCCAGTGCTGCAAAACCAGAAAATGCAAGGTAGAATTTAAGCTAAAATAACATTACAGTTTCTTTAGTCAGCAACATTTGTCCAGCATTAGATCTTATGCAGCACAATCCTATGCACGCTGTAATTGAATTTTCACAGTCTACTTTTTGCATTTCATTACCATTTGACTGCATCTTGCACGACTGTTTTCTCTCTCCACTTCACTCCTCAGATGAAGTGGATTCTAGCCTACAAAATCTTACATTTTCATTACTCGTTAAGATGCCACAAGATTCTTCCTTGTTTTCCCAAAATATATAATTTTAAATGATTGGCACAGACATGATTTTTGTTTGCTAGACTCTAGCAAGCTGGAGACTACTGCACTTATTTTTTCCTTAAATTTGGGAAATCCTTGTTTTCCCAAAATATATAATTTTAAATGATTGGCACAGACATGATTTTTGTTTGCTAGACTCTAGCAAGCTGGAGACTACTGCACTTATTTTTTCCTTAAATTTTGGAAAATGAATTTGCATGTTAAGCTTTTAGGGTAAGTAAGACAATATTATGCAATCTGATAAATTATTCTTTTAAGCAAGGGAACACAGTACTTTAATTGCATTCTTCCCTGGGTGGTCATAATTTTGCATCACAAAATTGCTTTGTTTCATCTTCATTAGAATAACCCAGAATTCCACTGGAACTGTGGCTTAATAAACCACATCACTCTTTAGTATGGCATTTATAAAATGTACCCACAAATATGTACAATAGCTAAAGCTGAAATCTAGAAGAGGGCTAGTCATGCTCTCAAGTTCCACTGATTTCAATGGGTCCTAAGTGCTCAAAACTCTGTTCTGGGTTGTAGATAATGCTGCAACATTTTAAAATCATGTATCTGTAATTATGAGACTAGAAATACTTTAATTTGAAAGGAGTGTAATGGTAAAAATATTTTTTAAATCTTCCTTTTGCTCCCTTTCACATATAACATTTTAGATATGCCTGTAGGGCTGTACTCACTATCCTACACATTCTTGGAAGGCTATCTAAATATACTGTACGTATTATAGGACTTACCATAATCTTTCCCCTTTATTATCTGAAGGATTCTTGCTGAGGACCTGTTCTTCCCATTGGAGTCTGAACAAAGTATTGTTAAATTAATATTTACATCAGTTGGTTGACGATCCACGGCACACCTGTTCAACAGCATGTTAAAAGAGAGATGAAACAGCAAACCTTCTGTCATTTACCACTTTGCTTCTATACCAAAATACAAAACAATGCTTTCCATGCTGAAATGCTGATCCTCAAGTGCATGTAAAAACAAACCATTCTTATAAGGTTTGTTTACTATGCAAGTTGGAAACCTTAGCCTGGGAGCTGAATACGGCCCTCTGGTCCTCTACGTATTATCCTCCAGACAATCCTTTACCCACCCCACCCCAGACCACAACTCGTTCTGGCTTTGCCCCTAGCACTCCTTAAATGCTTTTGCCCAGCTGGAATGTGTCTTTGAACTGTCATAATGTCTCTTGCTGGAAAGATGGAGTGGTATGTGGGTGTGTGGGTGTAGTTGCAGAAATCTTTTGACTTTGAAGCTGGGCTAGAACCTACTGTTGTCATGTTGTTGGATTTGCTATTGATGATGCTTGCAGTAGCCACTGTTGTGGAACATGAATGAGTTAATTGCTGACGCAGGCGGGGAAATTGCTGCAGCATTACGATGTACTACTTATTTATAATTTTATATAAATTATTCAGCTGGTTTGAGTTACTGAGTGGAAATCTATAATACTTTATACTGGCATTGTGGTGAAACTAAGGGGTAAACATGCATTTGGAACCTGGGGTATGTGTTAGTGTTGAGCGGAGAAGGGATTTGGAGTGGAGAAACTGGAACAGGAAACACAGGCTCTCCTTCTGCAGCTTCTCTTGCCATCGGATTCACCCCTTCTGAATATGTTTCTCTTTTGCTGTGGGTTAAACCACAGAGCGTAGGACTTGCCAATCAGAAGGTCGGCAGTTCAAATCCCCGCGAGGGGGTGAGCTCCTGTTGCCAACCTAGCAGTTCGAAAGCACGTCAAAGTGCAAGTAGATAAATAGGTACCGCTCCAGCAGGAAGGTAAACGGTGTTTCCGTGTGCTGCTCTGGTTCGCCAGAAGCGGCTTAGTCATGCTGGCCACATGACCCGGAAGCTGTACACCGGCTCCCTCGGCCAATAAAGCAAGATGAGCGCCGCAACCCAAGTCGGCCATGACTGGACCTAATGGTCAGGGGGCCCTTTACCTTTACCTTACTGTTACGTGTGTGCTGTAATATGTAGCTAACCACTTAGTTTCACTAAAGTCAGGGTATCAAGCATTTGCAATTCATAAGTTACATTGAGGCAGCGATGGCCACCAACCTAGATGGCTTTATAAGAGAATTAGACAGATCCATAGAGAGGGCTACTGATGACAACTAGTCATGATGGCTATGCTATGCCTTCAAGGTTGGAGGCAGTAAAAATTCTGAATACCAGTTGCTCAGAACTGCAGGAGGGGAGAGTGCTCTTGTGCTCAGATCCTGGTTGCAGGTTTCCCACAGGCATCTTGGTTGGCCATTGTGAGAGCAGGATGCTGGACTAGTTAAGCCATTGGTTGGATCCAGCAGTCTCTTCTTGTGTTCTTTAAGGACTACCTGAATATTTTATACTAAATTAGAAAAACAAGCCCTTTGACAGAAACAAAAACCCATTTTGAAAATTCCTGGACCAGAGTGTTTGTTTCTGATTTGTGCAAAAACCAAAAGAAATTCATACAACTTGATGCTCGGCATCCGCCTGTCTTGGGAAACAATGGAAGAGTGTGCCTTTGGGGGTGAAGTCAAGTCATTGGAGAGTTACAGCGCCTGATGGCTGTAGAGATCAATAAGGAAGAGAATGTTTTGTTGCAGCTGGGGCAGATGAAGGCATCCAGTTGTACTGCTGCAGACACACCCTGGTGTTTCTTCTTTCTGTGCTCTTCCCAGTGGTCATTCCTGCTCTGGTCAATGCTGTGGATACACAACCTGACTGGTTCTCTCCAGGCACTGCAGTCATTTGCAAGGGATTTCCACACAGCAGGGTTGGTGTTGCCAGCCTTCATGTCTCGTTTGTAGACATCTTTCTAGTGAATAGTTGGTCTTCCAACAGGCCTGGTGCCTGAAGCTGCTCCCCACAGAGCATGTTCTTGTTGTGCTTAGATGTATGGCTGGCAAAGTGATTTAAACTCTAATCTCCCTATGGCAACACCAGTTCACCACAGGGTATTTGTTTAGTAGACTGGAATGTAATGTACATACTAATACAGTATTTCCGAACGAACACATGGATCTTCTTTCACAGTTGTAAGACCTTGTTCCAAATATACATCCCCATGAAGAAAACACACACACACACACACACACACACACACACACACACACTTTTGGTTAAATTATTTTCTTGTCTTTTCCTTCCCTTTCCCTATGAAGGATTGTCTCTGAATGTTCAATTTTTTTAAAGTGTGTTTATCTCTTTGTTGGTTTATGCTCATGTTGAAAAAGAAATATAACCTACTTACCTGCCTGGATTGTGGAGTCCATGGGCAAAAATTTCAGGAGGCTGATTGGTGCTGTTAAAGTGTGGGTTGCTCCGTGGTATGGAATAAGGCACATGGCAGAAATCAGTATCTACATCCAGGCGTAACACAGAACCTGTAAAATCACTGAGAAAGTTGGAGGATAACACAATTGATTTTTAAAAGGATTTTTACTGGGCAGCATTCATTTAAATAGTAGTGCGATAAACACAGGAAATTACCCAACAAAAGAGTAATCTCTGTGGGTTTAATGCAGCATACTGACTCTGTACATAGCTCTAGATTGCCTCCACTTGTTAAGTCTCAGTTTGGCCTCTTCAGGAGACAGAAATGACATGCTGCATGCACCTATGATTTTCACTGGACACATTTGCTCAAATGAGTTCCTCCATTTTGGAGGACTGGTACTTGTGTTTAGCTATATCGAGTGGGGAGCAGTATAAACAGAGCAGTATGGATAAAATATATTTTCCTCCATTAAGCATTAATGCTTCTATGGTGGTCTGCATCTTGTTATACTAATTCATTCACTGAAGTGATCAGCACATGAATTGTATAAATATAGTGAGTGAGGGGTATTGGCACATGTTTTCAATGATGAAGATTATATTACTGATCTGTATTGGACATCTAAATGGTAGAATTATTTTAGAGGGTGTGGTGCTGAAAAAGAAACAATAAACAAGAAAGATTTTATCCACTGGTAATTATTATACCTCAAACCATCCATTTCCTCCATATCATCTATAGTGATCATCCCATCACCAAGGAATGTGTATAAAAACCCATCAGGGCCGAACAGCAGCTGTCCTCCAAGGTGTTTTCTGTGTAGCTCTGCAACTTCTAGAAAACCTCTTGCTGTTCTCGTATCAACCTGATGTGGATTTTTCCTGTAGCACAGAAAAAGGATTGCGGAATTAATCTCAATAATATATTTCAATTAAATTTATGTTTAAAATGTTTCTTCTCTGCCCCAGAATCATCCTTGCATTAGTTCAGAACGGCAGGGACATATGGTTTTTGAAATAAAGCTTTGTCCTAGGTCCTTTTAAACATGGGTGAGGCATGATAGCTTCCACTCAATTGGCCTGGGGGCCAATGATTCCTTAGTGGATTGTGACTGGTCATCAAACACTGTGCGGGGGTTTTTTGGTATTGTTTTGTTGCTTTGCTTGCCGTGTGGCAAAGGTTTTGCATCCTGAATGTATCTCAGGTTTTTGTTGCTGATATTAAGAGATAACCAGTGTGGTATAATAGAGAAGGGTTAGGGAAGCTGTGGCACCCCAGATGTTGGATGTTATTGCTGAACACTAGCAACGCTGCTGGTGCCTGATGTGAGTTGGAGTCCAACAACATATGAACAGCCACAGGTTCCTCCTCCATGAGATAGTCTTAAACTAGGACTGGGGTGACTCAGTCATAAGATGACCATGGACCAGTCACTATTCTCTTAATAGGGTTGCTGTGAAGATAAATTTGGGGAAAATGTGTATGCCACCCCAAGGTCCTTGGAAAAAGGGTGGGACATATGGAAATAAATAAACAGATGTTATTTAGCACAGTTGTAGGTGGTGAGGACATAGATTGATAGTGGATTTTAAGGGATCGTTGGAGAGAGGTACAACTGAACCACTCTCCAAAGGGATCTCATTAAAGAGCATTCTGAGGCATACCAATAACTGGTCAGTCACATGTAGTATGGCTGCCAACTCAGTTTGAGGCTAACATTCCTCATTCCTTCATGTCCAGGAAAAAAGGAAGTGGGTATGGTCAGTTTAAGCCATATTAAGACTTGAGAAAACACCATCAAGATGAATTTTGTTGCTCAAATGCCACTAATAAGCTAGATCAGAAGAGTAGTAGGTTAGCATAGCATTGTCCTGCATGGAGTCAGACTTTGTTGCAGATTCCTCAGTCAATAGTCAACCTTCTTAATTCCAAAAATAGTGATGTGTCAGATCTTTCCAAAAGACTAGAATTTTGTATCAAATACAAAAAATGTGCATTACTAACTGTGTATTTTTTTGAAATTATTTGGGATATACATTTGAATAAAGATTGGTTCGACTGATTATATTTCTATGCCGCTTTTCATTCAGGTAAATATCCCATGGTGGCTTACAAACAATAAATAACAATAACATGATAGAACATAATACAGCATTAATCATTATAGAATAAAGAGGATTCATTGAAGAGAGCAAGGCACTGCACTTTGCTGCTTGTCTGAGCAGCGTTTGATTGAAATCTGTCACGGAGGTTTACTGACAGTATCCAGATGGATCCTATGTAAATGAGTGGCAACCTGTTTAAAAGCAAGGCATGCAAAAGCAGAAAAACTGGGCTTGGGGACTGACAGATTCCCAACATATGACACAACTAAGCCGAAGTACACTGTATATGGGGACTTGCTGCTGAAGCTGCTTACAAAATTCGTACCTGGACACGGTGTATTCTACAACCCTAAGAATATGGTCATGTGGCCCAATGGCCCATCGTTCTTGGTTGGTGGTATAGGACACATACAGCTTTCCATTTTTTTTGTAATTGGGATGGAATGCAAGGCTTAAGAGCCCTCTTTCATCTCCACCCTGCAGTCAAATGGGGAAAAAAAGCAAAACAAAGAATTGTGAAGTTAATTATGTTCTTTATTGTGTTGAAGAGGGACCCCCCCTTAAAAAAAGTTTCTTTCTTTCTTGTGAGCAATCTTTGCCTGCCTCCTTTCTTCTTTTCTTTCTTCCTTTTCTAACTATGGCACAAAAAAGGATTATAAAACATTTCATCCGGTTTGGGGAATGGGGGGGGGCGCGGCGGTTGTTGCTCCTTGAGAGTCGGAAGAGAACAATTGTTTTGTGTAGCTATTGGTATACAAGCCTCCTCACTCCTTTTCTATGGAGAGATCTTTGGGAAGCCATGAAGACAAGTTTAAGTGCTGCAGAGAATTCTTTCCTGGATTACTAGGTTGCTTGTTATAAGCAGAATGCAAATTAGGAAAAAGGTCTATAATCAGCAGTCACTTCAAATCCAAGTATCCAAGCCCTGAAACACAGTGCCAACTCCCACTGTCTTGGCAATATGTTTAGAAAACAGTTAAATTGCTTGTGTAATATGTAAACCTTTGTTTTACCCTGGAGGCAACTACATCACTTGTCACAACGATGGTGGTCTGTTCATCATTGCTAGCATACTGTAGGTAATAAGCAGCCTCCATTCTCACTGCGTGAAAGCATCATTCTGTACGGGGGTCCATAGCGCAAAGGATTTTATTATTTCAAAAAACAAAAATAGAAAATGCCCAAACATCTTTCTTTCATTATTTATGTATGCCACACAGATTAGTACTGTTATATGTTTAGCATCAGTTTCATGTACTGTGACAATACAAATGCCAGCAACAAAATGCAGCAAAACACACACACACACACACACACACACACACCAAACCCCAACCCCAAAAAGGGAGGGGTGGGAGGGAAAGGGAGGGGGATCTTTCAGAGCTCTGAAGTGCAGAATGCAAAAGAGCACCCTCCAAGCATACTAGCATAAATGTATTTTTGTACAGAAAATCTCTAATTAATAAGTATTGATACAAACAGAGATTCAAAAATACACTGAAAGGGGTATGATCAGAAAAGAATTTTCTGAACACAATGAATATTTCACACATAAGTTAAATATGCTATTGTTTATGAGGTGCTTCATAGGCCATCTCACTCTAGTTATTCCTGCAGCATGATATACTTAAGGCTGCAATCCTATACTCTCTTACCAAGGAGTAAGTTCCACTGAAGTCAGTGGGGTTTACCTCTGAGTAGGCATGTATAGGCATGCACCATAATGATTGTTATCGGTGAGCTTATTCTTTCCTTTAGTGATCTTAATATATTGTTGTTCATTTCCTTCTTCTTTGCTACTTGTACTTAAAAAATAATTTTGAAATGGAGTTCCTTAATATGACAAATCATCCATGATAAAATATGATACAATGTACTTCTGTATGTGGAGACTGTGCTTGTATACCAATACATTTATAATAGGACATGAAGACTTTGTATATTAATATTTTTACACTATTCTGTTTCAGGGTGCTTTTTCTTGTTTGCACACAGGACCAGAATGCAAGCTTTCATTCTGGCAAACAAAACTGTACAATCTGCATAACTTGAAATGCATTTTTATGCCCTTTAAAATAAATATGGGTTAACTTATAGATTGCAGGTTGTGAAATTCTATAATGATTTCAAGAAGAAAAGCTACAGCATGAAAACATTATTTTCATTAATGGCACAATTACATCAGTTCTTTACTCTTGAATTGGAGCTAGACTCTTGCCTCAACTAGACCCATTTAAATCAGTGGGCTGAAACATGCCTTATCCTCTGTCAGATTGCGACCTCTGAGGTGAAATTCTGTTATTATAGCTGACTTAGCAATATCAATACATTTCAGAGTTTCTGCAACTTTGGGTTGGATCCAGACTTGGCTATGCATAGAATATCCCCACTGAAATCAATGGGGCTAAAGTTTATAAAGACATAACTTAAATCCCACTGATATCAGTGGGTCTACTTTAGGCATAACCAACTCCAATCTGTTATATGCAACTGGGTGCAAAAATGGACTTAAATGCAAAGTTAATGCAAAGTTAAGCTCCTTCAACTCCCATTGAAATCAAAGACATGGGTCAAGATCAAGAAAACCCATCAGGAACATGCAGGCCCTCCTTGCAAGTACCAGTGGGCCATGGAACCCCTTGTTTCTCCTTATGATTTTCCCCTATTTATGTTAAATTAGAGGCCACCATCAGAGACCATTGTTGGACTTCTACTGGGTTTGAGTTGCTGGTTTGTTTGTTTTTTTAGTAATGTGGAGAGCTGCTTTCAGAAAGTCCCCACTGCATTCCCAGTATGGTTCTTTGGACCCCAGCAACAGTTAATTACATTGCACTTTCAATGGCCTCATAAGTGCTCATTCAATTAGCAGCATCTAGGATGAAAGGTTTGGTAAACCATCCATCCTCTTTCTAAGTTCATAAACAAAAAGAATCTGCAGCTGCTGCCAAGTTGCCATGATATGTTGATTTCAGTATCCTTACACAAAGTATAATGGAACACCAGTTATCTGAACTGTGATTATCCTGAACCTAATATCTGAGGTCACTGCTGTGTATTCCATTTGAACTCATATTTGCACATTATGCTTATACAATACATGCATTTCATTCATTCCTTGTGATCTCCAGCCCTGCCAATTTCCCCGAATGGCGTCATGAAGAGCTGCTATAGTCTGAAGATCTAATTTGCATTAAAGTGCATTGATGCCCAGTTTTAGCAACATTGGTTTAATGATGTTATAGCAACATGGGATAATGATGGCTATTTAATAAGCTAGCCACAACTGACCATTTAAGAACCTTTTGACTTTAGCTTTTCATAACACTACTGTTTGAAAAAATAGAAAAAAAATACTGCCAATACCCAGGTGAATGTTTGTAGCTTAACTTTTCTATAGTGAAAATAGCCACCTGCTATGAATGCAGTCTGCGTGTTCCCAACAGCCAATGCATAATTCAAATAGCTATGTTGAGAATATTTAAGCTGCAATTGCTTCATCATGTTCCCAACTCAAAATTCAACGTATATTTGCTATGCAATGGATAAGCATCTATTCTATGAATGTGACCTTTTGGGCCCACATCAAGCATGCTTCTTCACAACAAATTCAAGAGGAATTGGTTGTTGACACTCTGCAGCAAAGTTGCTTTTCAAGTGGTTGTGATCAAGTGGAAGAAGCTCAGTGTGCTGAGATTTACCCAGGGAGCCACTGTTTACATAACTGAGTGAGATCATCCGGAGGAGCACTGATAGTTATCCCCCATGTTAAAGAACGTCAAATGAACTTAACCAAAAATCGACCACTTAGTGTCGCCAGTCCCATGCTGTGAGACACACTTCCAGCAGAGATTCAGCAGGCAACATCGCTTTTGGCATTCAAGTGAACCTTGAAGATAGGCTTATGTAGCTGTTTGAAATTTTCTTGAGTAGCTAGTCATTTTAAGAATTGTTTTGTACTGCTTTTAATTTTTATTTAATGCTTTTAAATTGATGTACACTGCCCTGATATTATATGAGGTGGCAGTATATAAACACTCTTATATTGAATGAATGAATGAAGCTGGAAGTCACTATGGCCCATAAAAAGTTGAAGCTGCCATGTCTTTTGGCACACATTGCTGCAGCATGAAAAATGCAGGTTGAGTTGCAAGTCTGGGATAAGAACAACCTGGATGGATGCACAATGTACTTTTGTGGATCATGCTTTGTGGGATGCTACTCCAGAGGGTTCCTTGTCCTAATTTGGGGAGAGTGTTTTAGGGGCAAAGGGAGCTGTTGTTAGAAATGGGTGGGGAAAGAACTGAAAAATCTCTGACGCATGCTTGGAAATCGCATACAGAACTTTGCATCCTGGCCATTGTAAAGCCATCATATGGTCATATTTACCACTTATATGGATCCACTCGACCCATATTTCAATAAACCTATTTGTGGCAGCCTCAACCCTGCCGTGTGGGGTCATCACCCTTGCAGATGACCTCAGTGCCTGGAGACAGACAGACAGGTTGTATATCCATAGTAGTGAGCAGAAGAGAAACAAGCACAGAGAGAAGAAACACCCTGGTGCATCTGCAGCAGCACAACCAAATGCCTTCATCTGCCTTCATCTACTCCACACTACATCTGCCTGCAACACCTGTAAAATTTCCTGCAGCAGAAGTGTCATATCATGTTTTGTACAACCCAAAGTGTTTTTTCTGGGTACCACCGGTCCTAGCGTCAGGCTGTTCTATATATTTCTATGATCCAAGAGCAGGAAAACATGCCACAATGATTGTTCTCTTGTTGTTACACACCCTCATATTTTGATGCAGGCAGGCAGGCAGGAAGGAAGGAAGGAAGGAGATACTGAAATGGTTGGGAGATTTTACCAACCAAATATTACTAATGATGAGAATGCTTGGCTGGAGTAAGAAATACGTGGTTTCTGACTCCTTGTTTCCATAAAGATTATTTTATGGTCTGTAGCTAATATAGTGGTCATGCAGCTAAAGGCATTATCTTCGCATCATTAGAATGAAACATAACACTGGAAATCCCTGACTTCATTGCTTGAGGTTTCATTGGTATCTGAGATTTTATATTTCCCATTGTAAATCTAAATAAGAACTTGTGCTGACCTTTATTAGAGCAAACATTAAACATTAAACAATTTAGTAAGATTACTACTATGAAAGGGAACTTTTAAAAATGTGTTTTGGACCACCAAGAAACAATCATAAATTTAAGGAAATATGAGGTTACGACCATGTGACTTCCCTTGCCGAGTTATGTAACAGATTGTTGTGACTTAAAGGTCATACTTTTTTTTTAAGACACATTTTAAAGAGATTTATAAAATTTCTATTTATACAATGTTCATATCAACAATTTAAAAGGTATACGTTACTAGAATAACATATAAAGTTCAATTCCTATGACCCCCTTTACAAAATACAGAATACTGGGCCAATAGTAAATTATATAATCTAGAGCTC